TACTTCGTACGTCGTACTACTACTACGTACTACGTACTCCGTACGTACTCGTCGTACTCTACTACTCTCTACTCTCTCTCTCTCTCTCTCTCTCTCTCTCTCTCTCTCTCTCTCTCTCTCTCTCTCTCTCTCTCTCTCTCTCTCTCTCTCTCTCTCTCTCTCTCTCTCTCTCTCTCTCTCTCTCTTTGTGACACCCATTCATTGTCCCTAATGAAGTATTTTTTTTATAGCTTGTTAATCTTACATGCTCACAACAACATATGAAAGACCCATAATTCAAGTACCTCTGCATCCCGTCTCTTGCGTTGGCGGTCATCAGCTTCCACGGCAGATGCATCCCCGATGCCAAAAAAAGGATGAGCACGTTGCAAGCGCATCAATCCCCAATCAAACAATTGTTTGTCCGGATATGTACATTTCTCTCGAAGCCGGTACTCAGAACACACATCAGAACGCACTTTTTTCTGTAAGTCCTTTAGCTGGAACAAGGACGTCCTTGCCCAGAAGGACATATATTCATGAGTCATCCACCAAAAATTGTAAAGCACTAAGAAGAATAAGTTTCTATTGACATGCTCATGGCTCTTTGCTCTTATGTTTAAATAAAAGAACAAAGCATTTAAAGCGTACCATAAGCTGTGGTATAAACTGACATATGCCTAGTACAAAAGCAAGTGATCCACAAAAAGGCATAGCACATGGTTACACATCCTAAACTTTCTATCCAGCTCACTATATGTACAGGAGCCACGTTACCCAATTTTAGGGGTCATAAGGTCATAAGAAAAGGGTAGGATGATGTAGAAGAAATATACTTTGTAAAAAGGGTGCAGTTTGCATATGGATGCATCCGTAGCTATAGAGATAAGGTGCGCCTTCAAATTTTATCATGGTATATAATTTTGATGTAAAATGTTCTTAGTATTATCTCAAAATCTATTTTTATATCTAATTATAAAATTTTAAATTTTAAAAATGGTTAAAATCAAGTAGATCTATAAACATATGAAAATCTTGAAAGTGGACGGTGTAGATAATATGTTGTAAAATGCACTATTTCTGAGACTTAAAATCTTTTTATTTTTCATGGTCATACATCTCGATGTCGAGATGATCAATCAAAGGGCTTTTCAACATTAAAACTACCGTTTCCGATGGATTTTTTAGGTGCATCCGTAGCTATACATTATAAGGTTGCAACCTTATATAAACTTTTTCGTTGTAAAAATGATTTTTTTTAATGGATACATTTTCATAAATATGCACTTTTCTAGTGAAAAAAATATAAGATGATCAAAGAAATGTCAATCCATTACCTTCAGTCCATATAACTCAAGCAAGCACTTCATTTGCAAGTCCTCTCCCCTACTTGAAGGTAGCTCTGAACCAATGCATGACCAGATTGATGAGAATATAAGCAATCTCATGATGAAAACTAATCCTCCAACATTCCATTTTCTAATGATATGTCATTCTATAATAGTGGTAGCTATTTAGTCTACGTCTTTAAAAAAGGATTTCTTAGAGATCAGACAAATAAATGAGCTAGTCGATAAAAAGGTCAAAGATAACAAAAATGCAAAATATATGGTCAAAGAAAGTGAAAATTTCGAGAAACTTCAAAGACACCCATGCCAAGACTTCTAATAAACTTTCATGAGATTTATTCTATCATCATGGAGCTTCTCAATGAACTTCGATAATAGAGCTTCTCGATGAACTTAATACACTTAAGCCCTAACAAAAGCACTATTTTCACAAGTTTCATAAACATATTTTTCACATGCAATTTATTTCTCCATGTGCTATCTTTAAGACAAGAAGTTTGTGTGTCAATACTGTGCTCAAAATATAAAAGAGGTTCACATTAAATTTCATATTCAAAAGCTATATAGAAAGCTTGCAGCAACCTGAACCTTAGTTTATTACAAACAGGGTACAAAAGATGGCAGCCAGACCATTCCAGTGTAGGGATTTCATAACAACATAGATCGAAGTATAAGCATATTGCTTGTAAAGACCCAAACCTTGAATGGACCCCTTTTCTGAAACCACCCAATTTGGGCTCAATCATGTTCAAAACATAATTGTATGTTCCATATAAGTTGGAAGCAAGAAACTCCTGTTGCCAGGATTTGCATGTCAACATTGGTCAACAACAGTTATAGCTGGAACTACCTCTAAGGCAACGCTGACCTTTATAATCACTATAACAAATGCAGGTCTTCTGCTCTCTCTCCGTTTTAAATTGAGTAAATCCCAGTAAATGTTGTTTATTGTGTTGTGATAAGTGTCCTATCCCCCTTACGCTCCTCCCTATATTTCCCATTTTACCTTTCTCACGGGGTTGCATTAACTGACTCTGTATGGTTCACTAGGATGACATAAAGGAAAGAAGACTTTCGATAAGTTTTTCTGTGAAACTGTTTTGCAGTTTTTGCTAAGAATCTCAATTGATATGGAATAAGAAATCCAATTTTCAACGCAAAGTTCTGAAAAGTTATTTATGAAGCATTCCTTGATTAGATAATATCTTCGCTTTTCTAGGTTATAAAGCCCAAAAAATGACCTCTTCATACCAAGAAAAACAATTTAAAATTCTTATACAGAGCAGTTCCATCCTCAAATAATCTGAGATAACATTGAAAGAAAACATTCTTTTGAAGAAAATACAAACAAAAGGTATTTGGAAAACAAAAATTTCAGCCCATTGTAGATTTGCAGAAACTAGGAAGGAAAACACCACTACACAACCTGATTACAACTTTGTTATTTGATACGAGAAACCCTGTTATGAAGAAAATGGCGTCTAACATAAAGAGAAGTGACTCAAAGCAATTTTATATAAAGAACCAACACAAAGAGAAAAATAACACAACAATTTCTTTCTTTATGGAAACTAATAAAACAATTTCAATGCCATATTGAAACACGAGTAATATTCATGAACATTAAACAATAACACAGATTAATTCTGATGGTCATTTGCTTCTTCCAAATCCACGTTCCCGTAGTGCTAAAAGTTGAAAAAAAAATAGTGTATCCTTAAAATTGATTACAATTTTCAAGGACAAATGAAAATAAGAGTAATGGGTCCAAAATGAATAGCAACCATAACTGGATATATCCATCCAATGAACAATAACAAACATTAATAAATATTAATCATAATAATTAAAAAAGAAAAAAAAATGTTCTTCATTAACTAGAAGACCAACCTTCAAGTTCATCTACCCGATGCTGTATATGGCTTTCGAATCGGCTTTCCTTTGCATTCATCATTGCCGTCCCAGACATAAAACTTGGCCGTTGCGTTACCAATGCATCAGCCATGCTTCTTAGTAAATAGCCTCTCTTTAAACCCTCATTCTCATCCTGTTAAATGACCATTTCAAGAAAGTGTCAATAACTATCATTATTCTCACCCCTGTAACACTACTTGGCTTGTTAATCGCTCTTTTCAGTGCAAGATAAAGTAGTCAACATGTCCAATCCCAAGAAAAATCTACAAAGCCAAGTGAATTCATCAAAATATCATTCAGAAAACATTGAGGTATTTCTTACTGATAATTATAATTTTAAAAATAAGACGTGAATAATTATAAAAAATAAAAATTAAAAGATGTAAACAGTGACCAGTTGATTGTGGTTGCATTGGATGATACTGAGGTCAAACGGAAAAAAAAAGGTGAAAATAAGAGAGAGAAAGAGAGAAAATCCCCAAAACCCGAGAAATTTAGGTCGGGTTAAGAGAGTGAGAGAGTCCCCCATAATCTGAAGACTAATGAAAGCCGTCGCCACGACCACCGATCCAAATCAATGGCAACCAAAACCCCAATTCAATACGCACAACAAATCAGGAAAAAACCAACAAAAAATCAGAATTCATGGACGCAGCACCTGTTCGGATGAGAGAGAAACACAGTCCATGTCATCGCCGCCATGGTAGATGGAATTCACCCCATCTAAAAGTTCGGAGGGAAGAGGGAGGTTTCTCGAGATGAGATTGAGAGCAGAGACCAAGGTCTTGACCTCGTGGGCGTGATCATGGTGGTGATGGTGGTCTATTTGAGCCATGGCTTTAAGAGAGAAACAACGGCTCCTCCTTAAAAGGATTAACAGCTTCAAGTTCGAATTAAAACTGTGCCCGTTTCCCTCCCTCTCTATCCCTTTGTCCGCCTCTCCCCGCTCGTTATGTTGGGCTCGCCTCTCTCTCTCTAGATTTCTTTCTCTCTCTCTAGATGCAGCCTCTCAACTTGATAACCCTTCTCGCTCTCTATCGAGTCTTTTTGCCCCTAACCCGCACCAATTGGGGTTTTCTCTCTCAATCATAGGGTCCCAAGATGAATATAAAGGGGGCAAAAGCCTTCGTTTGTGCCCCTTAAAGCACCCAAAATTACGGAGTCACCTCATACATTAATAGGAGTCGCTATTTTTGTGTTTTTTACGTCTCTTTTATTTTCACTCACTCTCACTTGTTTCTTTGGTTTTCTTTTATTTTTTAATTATGACTAATTAGTTCATTTTTAGCTTACAAGCTACCAAACGTTTTCACTTAAAACAATACTGTACATTCCTGTATTTTAAATTTGCAAGTGCATCGAGAATCTTATAATACATATAGATAGCAAGATAAAGAGGAATTAGACTAAGATGGATTGATTATATGTAGTACATATTCAGTACGGTATTTGTTAGGAGGTACGAGTCAGTGGAGGCTCAAAAAGCGTAAGAAAATATGGTTGAAAATAGTTATAAAATATATAGGGACTTGTAGCCTTATTAATGTTATGGCACTTAATAGAGCATAGTGATGGGTCAGGAGGATTCGTGTAGTAACTCCAATTAATTGGGAAAAAAATTTGACGATGATAATGATGTTGAAGTTGTCTATTTTATTATATTGTAAATGTTAGGTGCACCTTATAAGTTTACTAGAAAATGTTTTTTTTACATTAGGAAAACCTCGAATGGATCATCTTTGTCTCAAAATATATGGATGTGGAAAACATACTTTAGGTTTTAAAAATAGTACATCATCATCATCGTCAGAGTTTTTTTTTAATTAATTAGGGTCGGCTACATGAATCCTGATTCGTTATTCTGCTTTATTAAATGTCATACCCTTAGTGAGGCCATAAATCCCTATATTTCTTTCTCACTACTTTCAATCACGCCTTTTTGGATGCCTACCCCTTGTCATTTTCGATCATTCCACTTAAACTAACTCGCACCTAACAAGTGTTGTATTGGATATGTGCCACACATGGTCAGCTCTACTCTCTCTAATTTTATCACATATTGGTGCTACACCTAAATTTTATTGAATAAATTAATTTTAAATTTTATCCCTTCTTGTCTTGCCACTTATCTATCTCAACATTCTCATCTCCATTACACTCGCTCTATGAGTATATTGTTTTTTGTCCACCCAACACTCCACTTCATAGAGTAATGTTTGTTTCACAGTTGTCTTATAAAACTTGTCATTCAGCTTTATTGGTATTGGTATACAACAATCTGTGTCAGTTTGTTTCAAATGGTACATCTTTTAACATATTAGACAGGCCATCTATGTCATAGTTTTTAAAAATAGTACATCTTTTAACATATTATACAAATCTGTGTCATTTTTTTAGCTTCAATTCTCTTAATTATGAGTGGATATATAATTTTAGGCCATCGTAGGGGCTTCTGATACGAGAGCTCGGTCTTTTTTTTTTCTTTTGATTTTTTTTAACAAATACCATAATTGCATCTTCTAGCAAGCTTTGAAGATGCAATTTATTTTTTATCTCTGTAAAGTCAATATCTTTTTTCACTTTCACCCTATTTGGTGGACACCGCTATTAAGAATGCCACATTGAAGTTTTCCTTCACTAATTTGGATATGGTTAGGTCTTCAACAAGCTTTTTCTCTTCCTTGGGTCAATGGGGATTTCGGCCCTACCCGTTTTTCATTAATAAGTAAGAATGGTACAAAAGGATAAAGATTTTAGGTATAGTTCTTTCATGAGAAGTCATGGTCATATCAGAAGAAATTAGAGGATAAATAAAATCAGGTGGCCGGGCACGCCAAATCATGGCCTCGGAGAGACTTGTGGCATTTGGCCAAGTGATTTGGCCACCGAGTTGGCCTCTCGATAGACACGCTTAATACTCCAGGGGCGGGCATCCAGGTGGTAAAGGCAAATTGTTATCAAATACGGAGACTTCAGGGGGGCTTATGGCGGCCGTGAAGGGAATACACTAGAATATGTGAATCACTCTCAATGAGCAGTGGAAAACAATGCAGCTCAATAGCTAGCTGAATGCCCCTTTCAAGGGCTGAAAATTCGGCAACATTGTTGGATGTGTGCCCTAGAGGAACAACAAAACCGGCACAAAACCCTCCCATATCTTTTTTTTTTTGATAATTCCTCCAAAATCAACTGTTCTAGGTTTGTCAAGGGACGAATCATCAATGTTTGGTTTGTATAGACCTATTGGGGGTGGAGATCATGAGAACAAAATCAAAGTTTTAAGATGCAATGGGTGCCACTAGATTTTGAGGTTATCAACTATAAGCTTCTCTGACGGGTGGAAAGTTTATCCTTTTACCTTTGCTAAGCCTACAACAATAAAAATAATTTGCTGCAACAGTTGTTCTCTTTTGGGTCTCTTTTCTTCAAAGATACACAAATTTTTAAACCCTAAACCGTAAACCCCATACTGATGTGCTTCCGTTTTATCCGTTTGGCCTCCCATGTTTTGTTCCTTGGAATGAAATAAAAAGTTGCTAAAATAAAAAATCTCATAAGGGACCCATACTCACCTGTACTATGAAATACAAACCTCGATACTTGCTTATCGGACCAGGAGCTTGAGGAGGATAAGAGGGAGAAAGAGAAATCTGATGACTTTGAAGCCTCATGCTCTATTGTCGATGTCTCTGATAATGGAGAGAAGTTTGTGGAGGAGATCTGGTGAAGACGAAAGCCTACAAGAAAGTACTAATGGTAGAGGAGGAAAAAGAACATCCAAAAAAAATTTGAGTAGTGATAATCTTTTCCTCTCTTTTTTTTTTTTTTGGATGGAAATTCAAATATTTGTCCTGGATAAATCAATAAAGGATACGGATTTTAGCCATGAAACATGGACGCATGTGTGTCTAAGCGCCTGAGCACTTGTCGACACTTAGAACGTGACTTTTTTTTCGTTTTTAAACACGGACAACTGTCCGTCAATTTTGAAACGCCCAATTTACATGTCAATTTCAAAAAAAATTGTTCGTGTTTAAATACTAAAGTTGTTTATGTTTAAAAAGCCATGAAAAACACCCAATTTGTTTATTTTTAATAAAAATAGTTCCAAATAAATAAAATTATTATCATTTTCTTAATAAGGGTTTATATAAGTCATTATTCCCATAAAGAAAATCACTCTTTTATTTCAAGTGCGAATAACACTTACAGGATTTATCCATCTCCAAAGTCATGAATCTCCATCCAATGTGAATCTTCATTTCCCCTCTTACATAAACTACATATAGATTTCAATATATGTATGAACAACTATACACCGATCTATTGTATGAACATGTGCCTAGATGATGGCTTTTGGGATTCGTGCTTCTAACAGTCGCATATGTCACAAATAGGCATGTTGTTTGTTTCTATGTGATTCAGGATTGCCAGGTAGAGCTATTTCAAATTATCAAACCCATTTTTACTTTAATATATAAGGTGACAACATTAAGTGTAGATGGTCTTGTTAACGGGTTTAGGCCAAGCCCAACCATACCAAAAACTGCAATGTAGACCGAACATTTTCGAGCCTAGCCTGAAATCCAGCATGCAAGGCCCGAACTTGATGAAAAAGCTTTTACTAAAAATGGACATGGAAAATTTCGACCTAGGCTTAGATAGAATTCAGGCTAGCCTGGGCCCAGCCAAGGCTACATTGAGCCTACCAAAACCTGCCCCGAATTGGACCTAGCGCGAAACCAGCACAAACTGAGCCCAGTCCGAAAGAACATTAGCTGTCCGGCTCGTTAACACCCCTATTTGTAGAACTGAGGTTGTATTAATCTACATTTAGGGATGAGAATGGGTCAAGTAGGGGCTAGGTTGACCCCAATCAGCACCCGATCTGGCTAGTTATAAGTTGTACCTAGACCTGTTCCAGACCCACATCAAGTCCTAGTCAATTGGACCAAGACCCGACCCACAGGGTCAACTCCAAGTCTGTAAATAAGAAATACAAAACATGTATTGTATATTTTAGTAGTTTGGATATCTATTGATCCTAATGTATACCAGGTCAGGTTAGGTTGACCCCAATTGACCTGACAAAATCTAAGTTAAATCCAAACCCGAATCCAACTAGGGTCAAGTCAAGGTCAAATGGACCCAGACCTGACCGATCCGGTTAAAAATCAGAGTCCAGATTTGGACCAGTTGGGTCGACTTGACTCAATTCTCACCCTTATTTACATTGTCTATCTCAATTTGATAGTTTTAGTATTGTCTCGAAAGGCATGTCAAATTTTGAAATTTTATGAAAAAAACTTGTCAAATTTATATCGTCTAATGAAAATGAATGATGTAGAATATTACAACTTTACTCGCATGCCTTACATAAACTGAGAAGCTTCTTGCAAAGTAAATCCATGATGAAGGTTCATTTTTTAGAAGTGCCATGTTTTGGCAGTTCTTTTTTTCTTTTTGGTAAAAATACTAAAATGTATAATTTGGTAAAAATCCACAAAGCATGGAGTCTGTTAGCCATCCCGATACCTTGTTTCCTTGGCATAATACTAATTTTTTGAAAAATGATTAAACCGGCTTTTGGGGTTTAAAAAACGGATCGGTGCCCCGGATTGAATACCCAAAAAACCCATCCGGATCGGTAAATCGGTGGTTCGGATCGGGAATTGGCCGAATTAGTCGGATTCGGTAATAAAAAATTCTAACAAATTATTAAAAATCATTATAAATGTTGTTTTTAAGGAATCCAATAAGAAATGAGGTACTACATTATTAACTTTCATTTTTTTTCATCAATATGTGAAAATTGAGATGTTCTTTCCCTGTATGAACTTATGTTAAGTTAACATTAATATAGTATTGTTTTAATTATAATATAGTATTATTATAATATAGATATTTGTATAACTATTAATTATAATATAGTATTCTAATATTACATCAAAATAATTTAAAAATATTAGAAAATACTTCCATATAATTTAAAAATAATTTTAATGTATATAAAAATAATTATATTGATATAAATTTAACATAATTATATTAAGTTATTAGCATAAATAAACAACAATTTCATATAATTATGTTAATTTTTGTAAATTATTATATAGAATTTAATTTTTGTATTATATGTAATTAAAGATTAATTATATGGACTTTATGTTTGTATATTATAAAAATAAATAAATATAATTAATCTTAAAATAAATAAATCTTAAAAATAAATAAATGTAATTAATCTTAAAAAGAATCATAGACCATTTTCTTTGGTAGATGTCCTTTTATAAGAGAGATCTATTTATAGAGCATTTAATTTATACATCATTGTACATATGGGAGAGAGAGAGCACTATTTATAAAAAGGTTTAAGAAGTGGATGTGCACTGCAAAAGGTGTGCATTGAATTATCCCACATCGAAGCTTTAAATGTGAATTCACCATTATAAAAAGTTTGTGGCGCATGCATCTTAGTGTGATTGCGTGACTGAGAGGTGTTTGACATACAATAGCAACTAAAAAACTGGTTGGATCCCCTGTTTTCACCAGATCCAAAATGGGTTGGGTGATACCGGATCTAGATCGCCCGATTCCAGATCATATCACTGATTTTTAAAACATTGGGCAAAACAATTTCACCAGATCCGGAATGGGCTGGGCGATACCCGATTCCGGATCATATCGCCGATTTTTAAAACATTGAGCAAAACAAATAGACACTCGAGGTGCTTGTTGCATTGCATGCAACATGCGTTGTGGTTTTCATCCCACTACCACCTTCAGAAAAACTACCTCCTAAACCATTTGAAGAAGCACAAAGGGGCCTATCTTCCCCATTGAATTACCTTCAAAAAAAAGAGAAGGCTTATGCATTTGTCAATGGGATTGTATACAATCAGATCATTTACTTTTGATACAAGGTCACAATTACTTACAATCAGCGGATGTCAAATTTGATAACTTGGATGTGTGACAAAGTTCAATTAATTTTGTTTTTTAAGTTTGGGCTTGGTCAATGAAATAAATGCAACTATCTAATTTCATATCCAAAGGTCAAGATCAATTGTGGCCACTTTGTACCAAAGATAAATGGTCACATTGCATACTTTTCCTTTGTCAATAAGTCATGACATGGTCTTGTAGTAGTAATAATGAAAGAGAGATAGTGGAGGTACGTGAAATTTTAGGACAATTGATTTATTAAGAAAGAGAGATAGTGGAGCTACATGATACTATCGGTGAGAGAGAAGAAAGAGAAAATTGTACAAGGGAGGAGATTTATTAGGAGAGATAAGAGATAAAGTTTAGGAAAGTTTATTTATTAGGAGAGAGAGAGTATGTTACACAATAATATTGGTGAAGAGAAAGAATAGAGAGAAAAACGTGGGACAATTGTAGTATTATATTAGCATATATTTTATAAAAATTAAATATTGAAAATTATAATAAAACTAATTTAGTTTTGTTACGATTAGTATGGGTTTTGTTAGACTACACTACTTGTAATATAGACCTTTAAAGTGCTCAGCATTTTTAGACATTTAGATACCCTTATCTTATAGTATAGTAACTTTTTGTTTAGAGGTATTTTAAATAATTAGTCAAGGGTAAACTAGGAATTCCTAATAAAAATAAAAGTATTTATTAACAATAATGGACAATGACATCACCGATATGGTATATGACGTCACCCACAAGATGTATTAATTGTTTTTAACTACTAATAGAATGCCACTATTTTTCTATAAAAATACATTCTACCATTCTAAATGACAAAAAATGCCCCTACTTGAAAAAATTTGTATTACAATTCAAAAGTATTTTAGTGTCCAAAAATGTTGAGTACTTTAAAGGTCTGCACCACCAAGTAGTGTAGCCTAACAAAACCTTATATTTACAACTAAATTGTAACAATTGTAGTATTAGATATATTTATTATCAATAGAATATTATTTTCTTAAAAATACACTATAGTTATATGATTCATATATCCAAAAATAGATTGCTGCAATTAAACAATGAGTATCACAAAAAAAAAATCAAAATTCGTTTAATGCAAATATGATGATGTAACAGTTACTCATCTTCACGAAATTTTGCATGGGCCCAAGCATGATAACTAATACATTTTATTAGGGTGTATTTATCATGTATGAGCATAACTTCATTTGCACATATAGAAGTACAACAGATAAACCATTGAAATTATTTAGTTCTTACATTAAACACCATACACATTTCTAAGTACAAGTAATAGCGAACAACTCTAATATCCTATGAGCAGCCAAATGAAGGCTCATCTAGGTTCTCTCTCAAAGTAGCCAAGGTTGCGAGCTTCTTCCATGGCATTTAGTTGGGCTTCATCTATGGGTTTCTGGAAAATAAAAACCAAAAAAATGAAGAATAAAAAACATAAATCCAGACAATATACAATATCAAAATAAAATAAAAATCAACATACCTATGTCGAGGAAAAAATTATGATTTGTTAAAAACCTTGAACCACCCTGAATATTATAGAAAACTCTCTGTATCTTGATTAATTATCAAGAATGTATAAAGTCGCGTATAAATATATGACTAATCAGTTATTGATAATGACTTTCTAATTTAGTCATTCCAAGAGAGATATTTAATCAAATGATAATGACTAACTAATCTAGTCTTATCGAGAAAGATATATATATCAAATACAAGATAAATTAAAATTAAAATTAAAAATTATTCTCAACTATCTTTATCTCTACACTCTCCCTCAAACTAATGTTGGGTGAACATCATCAGTTTGTCAACGAGAAAGTCATGACGAGCACGAGTCATTACCTTGGTAAATATATATGTAAGTTGTTATTGAGAGGTAATATGGGGGAGTGCAACTTCTCTAGCCATAATTTTTTAACGAATAAAATGACAATCAACTTCTATATGCTTTATGCAATCATGAAACACTGGATTTGATGCAATACGTATGACGCTCATATTATCAGCATTCAATGGTATAAGAGTTCGATGGAGAATATTGAGGTACTGTAAAAGGCCTCTCAACCAAGTAATTTCACTGCAGGCTGAGGACAGTGCTCGATATTAGACTTCTGCAGAAGATTTATACACAGCTTGTTGTTTTTTACATTTCCATGATATGAGATAATCTCCAAAAAAAATACACTACCCAGTGGTTGAGCATCTAGTATCAGAGCATCCTATTCAATCCGCATCAGCATAGACTCGTAACTAGAGAGAAAAGTTAGAAGAAAATAATAGACCTCTATGGTATGTATCCCGTAGATAACGAATAATACGATGGACAGTCGAGAGGTGGTTACAACGAGGATTAGCAACAAATTGACTAACGACATGTACTGCATGAAATATATCTGGACGAATCATAATGAGATAAAATAGACTCCCAACCAGTTGTCTATAAAGAGTGGGATCCGAAAGTTTGTCGCCATTATCCTTTCTATATTTTACATTCACCTCTATTGGTATATCCACTCATTTATCATCAGATAAGTTGGCCAGTTTGATCAAGTCCTTGGTATACGTCTTCTTAACTATGTATCCATCAGGGGGATAATAAATCTCCGACCCAAGAAAATAAGTCAATGGACCCAAATCTTTCATTTTGAATGAGTGATTGAGAAGCTCTTTCAAGTGTCTGATATTATCAAAGTGGTCTCCTGTGATGAGAATATCATCATCATATAGGAGAAGAATTGTTATTCTCGAAGAACAATGATGAGTAACTAATGAATAGTCATGAGCACTTTGTTTCAACCCATCATTCAGAAAGACATGTCGAAATTATTCAAACCAAGCCCTTGGCGCTTGTTTTAAACCATACAAATATTTTTTCAATTGACAAACCATAGATTTATCATTGTAATAACCAAAATGAGGTCGCATATATACTGTCTCTTTCAAATGTTCATGGAGAAATGTATTTTTCACATCCATCTAAGATATAGTCCACTGATTAATAGCTGAGAGGGTAATTACGATTCGTATAGTGGTCAAAGAATGATATAAGGAGTAAACAGAGATCTAGGTGTTTAAAAGGAACCTCAATAATATAAAGATAAGTAAACAAAGCTCTAGGCTGAAGTGAAAAGTCAAAATCATTAAGGGAGAAGCCATATCAATTAGGTGGGTGAGGTACACATGAAGAACGTAATAACTGGGTAGAGCTATCAATAGGATTAGGAAAAAAATCACTTACAGGTAAGGCGGAGGTTTGACCTTTTCTAGGTTGGTGAGATGGAGTAGGCGTGGATTGGTTTAGTTGGCCTTGCTGTTGAGGCGCTAAAAGGTGTGATGGTTTATCAGTGGAGAAATATGGAAATAAATGAGCAGATGACTCTAATGATTTGGAATTGAATAGTAATAAAAAATGCTTTCCAAAAAGACTACATTACGAGAGATACATATACGACGAGCTGTTGGATCATAATATAGAAACCCTTTTTTGTTGGGACAATAACCGACAAAAACATAAGTGACTGTTTGAACAATAAATTTTATTCGTTCATGCTGAGGAAGATGAACGAAACACATACACACCCAATAACATGCAAGAGAAAATAATCAGGATGAACATGAAATAATAAAGAGAAAATATCTCCTTACCCCCTATTTTTTACTTCTATTTCATGGTTTAAAAATGTTACTTGTAGCATAAAATCTTCATTTTTTCTATCTTGCAATCCCATATACTCCTTTTATCATTAATTTTTTACCCACGCAAATACTAAAATGACACCTATCTCTCTCTTTAGTGCTTAAAGTTAACCTTTTCTACATCGTCACTGTCTCCTCTCTCTCTTTAAAAATAAAAGCACAAACTCTCTAAAAAAACCCAAAGCACATATCTCTCTCTAGAATCTCTCTCTCTCATATCCAGAGTGCCGGAACCCACTCTACATTGTCTCTTTCTCCTCTCTCTCAATAATAGATGTAATTTGGTTAGAAGCCATTTTGCTAAACAAGATTTAAATAAAACTGTGCGAATGACCTACACCGTTGGAGCAAACTGTGGGCGGTACAATTTCCACCGTTGTATCATCGTTCTTCTCTCTACTCCCCCTCTCTCTCTAGACATTTCTAAGGAAAAAACAATGTGATGTTTTTTGAATGGTGCGAGAAATTGCAAAGGCCTAGTGAAGGGTAATTGGGATTTTGAATTTCATGTTTTCTCTCAGGTTCTCTTTGTTATTTCTAGAGAGAGAAAGAGGTTGGTGTAGAGCTGTTTTAGAGAGAGAAAGGGAGAGGTTTTAGAGAGAAGGGTATATGAGTGCTTGAATTACTTGTTTTTTTCAAGTTCGCTGTGTTACTTTTTGAGGGACGAGAGAGGAGAGAGAATAGTTTTTTGTTTAGTTGCTGCATTTTTTGTAATTGGATATGGTTTCAAAGCATGCAAAAATGGCTTCCGCTTCAATCCCCATCAGCAACTCTGATAAAACCATCCTCCTCAAGACGAAGAAGGTTCTCTCTTTCTCTGTCTATATCTCTCCCTCCATAGTCTTCTCTCCATCTTCAAAGTCGGGCCATCTCTTTCTCTCTCTACAAACCTTTTGTGCATGGCGAAATTATTCTGGCTTCTCTCTCTTGTTTTGCACAGGTTCATCAGTCAACAAAACTAAAGCAATGCAAGCTCAATGCTCGTCGTGAACAATGGCTAACCCAAGGTTCACCATCGGTTCCAATTCTTTCACGAAATTAGGGATTTTCTCTCTCTATAATTTTTGCAACACGCATTTCCGAAGTTCCCCCAAATTCATGCACATTTATTCTCTTTCCTTAAAATGTATGAATTCATGTTTCTTTTTAAAAAATTCCATCGCTGCTTTGCATAGAACTGGGCACTTTGCTATTTTTTTGTTTTTACAGGAAGAACAATGTTCCCAATGAGAACAGGGCACTTTATTTAACTATATCTTTCGTTTTTACAGGGAATAACCATGTTCCCAATGGTAGTGGTAATGGACATTCATGGTCTAATGCCTCTAAGACAATAGGAATGAATTACCATAGAGAAAAGAGAAAGTAGATAGAGAGAGGATTGGAGGACTGATAAAATCGAAGAACTTTAAAAGAAATACAGCAGTTTCTGAACAAAGGGCACAAGCAAGAACCTAGGGTTAAAGAGAAAGAGCACCGATTGACTCATGGAAGACCTGAATGGTAGAGGTTGCACACAGATCAAAACCTAAACCAAGCCGGACGGATTTTAGAAAAAAAAAAAACCCTAAAACTATAGAGATGGATGGATTATAAGAGAGAGAGAGAGAAATGGAGGTTTGAGAGAGAGAGAGAGACAGTGATTCTAGAGAAAGAAATGTGCCTTGGGTTTTTTAGAGAGCGCGTGGATTATTTTTAAAGAGAGAGAGGAGACAGTGACGATATAGAGAGGGTTAACTTTGGGAACCAAAGAGATAAATGGAGTATTGAGAGAGTGTGTGTTTTGAGAGATATGTGTCATTTTAGTATTTGTGTGGGTAAAAAAATTAATGATAAAAGAGGTATAGGGGGTTGCAAGATAGGAAAACTGAAGATTTTATTGCACAAGTAACATTTTCAAACCTTATGTTTGACGATAAATATAAGTAAAAAATAGGGGGTAAGGAGATATTTTCCCAATAATGAAAAATATGGAGATTTTATATGCAAAACCAAAGATGGGATGTGATTTATGAGATAAACAATTGTTGATGCAGCTTCAACCAAAAAACTATGAGGAATACGAGAGTCATGCATAAGGGTCCTCATTACGTCTAAGATAGTACAGTTTTTCCTTTCAGCCATGTCATTCTGTTGTGAAGTATATTGACAAGTTTTTTGTAATTGAATACCATGTGTTTTAAAAAAGTCTTGAAAATCATTTGATAAATATTCCCCCTCCAGAGTCTGACCGTATGATTTTTACTTTGGTATTAAACTGAGTTGCAAACTAACTTGATGACCAAATAAGAGGCCTTATTACCAAACTAACTTGATTACCAAGTAACTTTGACTTGGTCTATTCGTATCTTTCATATACCTAATCTTATCAAGAGATATATATGAATACATCTATAATGTTGTATAGCAATATGAACCCGAGATATCTATATCCTAACATTCATCCTCAAACTCAAGATGCTTTGTGTAACGATGTATATCCATATCCTTACACTCCCCCTCAAACTCAAAATGCATAGACACAAAGTAGCTGAGTTTGAACAATACTAAGTTGTCAAAAACGAGTAGTAATCTTCAGATTGCTTAAAAAACGGGCACAAAAAAGCAGCGGCATACCTCAGGAACAGTGGGCCTCATGAACGCCCTGGATCGAGTAACGAAAAACTCGATCAATAGCAGGATCAACGTCAAAACAGATGGCCACGAGACCAAATGGGATTGAGTAACGAAAAACTCGATCTTCAAACAGGATCGAGTAACGAAAAACTCGATCATCACACAAGATGGAGTAACGAAAAACTCCATCATCTATTGTGATTGAGTAACGAAAAACTCAATTATAAAACAAAATCAAGTAAAGAAAAACTTGATCATCAACCAGGATCAAAAAATTCGATCATCAAAGATGAGGCACTTGGAAGAGCCAACATAAATCATTTTCAATCTTCGGGAACTCTTTAGAGGTCAAATCCTCGATGAGCTTTTCTATAGCTAATCAAATTAAGAGTTCCCAAATCTATAGTCAAACAAGTCATGTCAAGATGGTGTACAGGTAGTTTTGCAGGATCTCTTCAAGGCTCAAATTGTCAATGTGATTTTCTATAATCGAGCAAACCATGTCAAGCAAATTCTTGACGTTTAGGTAATTTGCTGCCATAGTGATATCAAATACGATTTTCATATCAACCTTTAAAAACTCCTTATCCCACTTTGTGAGTTCTAACTCACCGTTCTTATCTTATTCCTCTCCATCCTTCCCCTTTCCCTTGTCATTGTTTACATGGTTATTGAGGTACTCGATCACCTTCGAAAGAATCTTACTCAAAACATTAGGGAGTGGGATACCCTTCTCACCAGGGGTGCACCCATCCTCTATCATGTTCTTGATAGTTTTACATTGTATGGCAGACTCTTATGCCAATTCAAATATCTCGCCCTCACTGCTTCTCAAGAGGATCGTCTTCTTCTCTTCCGTCATAGTTGTCAATTTCATCATCTTCATGCAACTTAAGGGTACTTCTCTCTCTACTTAATAATCTCTTTAATCAAAGAAACTCCCTCTCTTTATCTGTAACCAAATAAACTCTAACCCAACTTAATATATGAATCCTGCTTCTCCATCTAAAATCGCAAATCCTCGGAAACTTATATAAGTTCTTCGGCACTAACCCCTATATATCTTATAATCTATGTCAAATTATCATCAAGTTAGTTTGGTGATAAGGCATTTTACTATGTACCTAGCAGTTAATTTAAGAACGAAGATGACATTACGTAAATGAAAAGGTGTACTACGGGAGATAGAAAATGAGAGATCAATACCAATAATATTCAGTTTATCCCCATTAGTGGTGAGAATCTGATTATTACTTTGGTATGGTTTAGTAGATGCTGGACTTGTGTGCACTCCAGTCATATGATTCGAGGCACCCGAGTCAATAAATCAAAGGGGAATTACATTAGGAGATAGGTGATAGTTCATACCAGACAATCTTATAGCAAACAAAGCAAAAGAGATAGTTGTAGATACAAAGTTTGTACCAACTGTCGATATCATCTGATGTTTAGGACATTGTCGTTGTCGTAATTGGGTCATGATTAGTGTTGAAGGGAGGGCTCTCTACCTTTAATCCCTTAAAAGCATCATTAGTAGCTTGGTATGCCTTGTAAAAAGGTTTTCATTTATCTAATGCCCGGCTGCCTCGCCGAGAACGATCTCGACATTCTGTGATAATATGTGTTGCACGTTAATAAGTACATAAGCTTTTATTCTTGCAATGAGATGTTATATGACCATACTCTTTACACTCATAACATTGCAGCAAAGATGGGCCCTTTTGTGTTGGGTCGAGCAAACCCTTTTTGTGGTGGTTTTTATCTTTGTCCGTTGAGCCACAAGGACATACTTTATATCCTTATTTCGCTCAATGGTGGCATGTGTCGTAATTATCATCTCCTCACGAAATAATTAACCCATAATGGCATCCATATGGGCTAATGTTTCCTGATTCAAAATATTGGCTCGAATGATCTTATAGTCTGGGCGCAACTTCATTAGAAACTGCATCACCTTCGTGTCATCATTTATCTCCATTAAGCTTTTAATGCAACAAGCGCTAGTGATAGCCTTCAGGTTTACATATTCATATTTTATCCACAAGTTCATAAAACCAGCATAATATTCATAAATGTTTTTCTCCCCTTGGCTATAAGAAAATATATCATACTCGATTTGGAAGCGTCTTGCAAGATTGGATTGCTGATAAACTTTTTTCAAATATTCCTACATTTCTTTTGCAGTACGGAAGCCTCTCATTGGCCTTCAAATATCCAGATCTACATAACTGAGGATCCATGAGATAATTTTGACATTACTGATCTTCCATTGTTGGGTATATTTAATATTGGGTGTAGACGGTTCAAGTGCAATTCCATCAACATGCCCACCTTTCCCTTCAACAAAAAATTGAAAATTGAAGCGTCAATCGAGATAGTTTTTCCCATCAAGTTTTATAGCTAATAAATCTCTTTTTTTAAAAGCCATGTGCAAATTGTATCAGAACCCCTTGTCTGAAATTTAGACCCCACCTCGCAATAATTTGCAGTCTGACAAGAGAGTTAGAGAAAGAGAAACGCCGCCTTCCTATAATTAATTACCGATAAAAATAAAGGGTAGAGAGAGGGAGGCAGGTAAAGTAGAGATTCTTTATAGAAAAGTAGAGAGAGGTAGGTAAAGTAAAGATCCTCTATGGAAAAGTAGAAAGAGGCGAGGAACGGACAACTTGCATGATGGGAAGAACAGCAATCTCCAGCAACGTTGGGCAGGCTCTGACAAGGATGGGCAATCTCTGTAGATCACCAAAGTTAAGAGATCAGATCCTCTTTGAGCCATAAGTCTTTGTAGATCACAAAAATCTTCAATGGACTGCCCAAACAGAAATCTACGAGAGAAAGAGAGACGGGGGGTTTTAGAGAGATAGCGTTTTGCACGATCCTTCAACCACCCCCAAGCTCCAAGCTAGACAAAATGATGAGAGTGCTTTCCTAACGATACTCAACAATCAAAAAGATAGAGAACTGCTCGTGGTCTGATTTGGTTTTGTTCGGATGCCTGAAAACAGATCCAAGGGAAGGCAGATGACCTTGAGCACCTGCTTCTCGAGGCAGCAAAGAGGACACAAAGAAGGTAGAGATGCATGAAGAAAACAGGAAAAAAAAACCATATGGACCATGATCTGTCAGGAGAGACGTGGCTCTGATACCATGTTAAAAACCCTGAACCACCTTGAATACTACAGAGAACTCTCTGTATCTAGATTAATGGTCAAGAATATACAAAGCCCTGTATAAATATATGGCTAATCAGTTATTGATAATGATTAACTAATCTAGTCTTATCAATAGATGTATCTAATCAATTATTGATAATGACTAACTAATCTAGTCTTATCAAAAGAGATATCTACATCAACTATAAGATAAATTAAAATTAAATTTAAAAACTATCATCAACTATCTCTATCTCTACATGATTGCCTTGTATAGCTTCATTGAATATATAGAAGTAAAACCAACAAACAATTAAAATTATTTAGTTTTTATATTAAACACTATACACACTTCTAAGAAGTAATACCTAATAACAATATCTAATAACACTAATATCCAATGAGAAGCCAAATGAATATTCATCTAGGATATCTCTCAAAGTAGCGGAGGCTGCTATATACATATTTCTTACTTCTTCCATGGTTCCTATAAAAGAAAAACCCAAAAAAAGAAAAGAAAAAATAGAAATCCAGACAATATACAATATTAAAAAGAAAATGAAAATCAACATACCTATGTAGAGGACAAAAATATGATTGCCTTGGAGAGAATTAGCATAATCACATTTGTTGTGTGTGAAGCACAGGTTAAAAATTGAGAGAAAGTGAGAAAGAGTTATGGCATGCATGAGAGAGGAAAGGAAAAGAGAGAATTGTGACATGCATGTGTGTGAGAGACAGTAATGTGGGTAGGAAAATTGTGAGAGGGGTAGAGAAAAAGTAAAAAGGAGGAAGATGGGAGATAAATATGTGGAAGAGATGTACATGGGACGAGAAGATAAATATGGTAGAGATAAATATTGGAGGGAATGAGAGTAAATCATGATGAGAGATAAATTTATTTAAACTAGGGAGATAAAGGAATTTACTTAAATTGGAAAAGGAGAGAAGATAGTGGGTAGAAGAATTGTGAGAGGGGGAGAGAAAAAGTAGGAAGGAGAAAGATGAGAGATAGATAGGTGGGAGATATGTACGTGGGACGAGAAGATATATATGGTAAAGATAAATGTGGGAAGGGAAGAAAAATGTGGGAGGGAGTGAGAGTAAATCATGATGAGAGAAGAATTTGTTTAACTTGGGGAGAGAAATAAATTTACTTAAATGGGGGAAAGAGGGAAGATAAGACGTTGCCACATTAAAAATGAGAGTTACTTAAAAGATGAGGTATCATCATATTAAAAAATGAATTGCCTATTTTTATGCCATTGCATGCATGTAGGGAGAGAGAAAATGAAAAGAGATTGCATGCATGTAGGGAGATTGAGAATAAAAATGAGAACATAGAAAAGTCGGAGAGAGGAAAAGATGAGTAAATTAAGTTTGCTTTAATTGAGAAAGAGAGAATATGAGGTGTTATAACACTACTAAAGCAGTTATCTATTTGTATGCATTTTCATGCATGTAGGATGGAGAGAGAGAGAGTTAAATACACAAACGTGGGAGAGATGGAGAGAAGATGAAGCGTTATCACGCAACCAAAGGAGTTACCTATTTTTATGCTTTTGTTTGCAAGCAGGATGGAGAGAGATAATGGAGAAACGTAATAGAGATGGAAAGTAATAGAAAATTAAGAGAAATAAAAGAGAGAAAGAGAGAGTGTAGAAATATGGGAGGGAGAGAGGGATAAAAATTGAATAAAAAGGACACAACTAGCAGTATGTACCTGTGTTACAGGTGTTATATTATATACATATCATTTAATAAGGAAAATAAATTTATAAAATCATTAATAAAATATAAAATGAAATAAAAATTAAACTAAATTCCATAATAAAATAAAATTATTAGTTTCTCACATATGTAGGGAGAAAGATAAATAGAGATGAGATATTTTTCATAGCAAAAAAGTAATGAAATATTTTTCATAAACAAATAACAATGATTGAGATATCATTTGATTGAATAGACATAAATTTAGTGAAATGAATAAATTATTTATGTGTTATGTTAAATAACACATAAATTTTTAACGAGTAATGATACTATGAGACCCTCCCACACTTATGTGTGTAGGACCTCAAAGAATCACCATTAAATTTGGCATAAATTTCTAAAAAAGTTATCACATGAGTGTGGGATTTAACTTTTCCAATGATCTTTGCCAAATTTAGTGGTGATCATTTGTGGTCCTACACACATGGGTGTGGGAGGGTCTCACAAGGTCATTTCCCATTTTAATATATTAAATTAAGTAAATATAGAAAGGATATTATTGTGCATTAGTTCAATTATAATAATATTTATTACTTAACAAAATAAATTTATATTATATAATTATTCATAGATTACTAAAATAGATTAATATGAAGAACCCAAAACAATAAATTTAATATTATTTAGTTAAAATTCTAATAGTATAATATAATTGTTGTATTTATGACTAATCAAACTATATTTAATATTGTTATACTAAATGAATTATTACATTTTTATAATGATCAAAGTATAATTATTATTATTCATGTACACATACTGATCACATTTACAATGTCGACCAAAAGTATATCCGAAAATAATAAAATTAATATGGAATATATTTTTATAATAATATTATTATTAATATGGAATTGTATACAATGAGACTATTTGCGTTACTTGCAACCATTTTATATGAAATTTGATAGCTTGGTTGTATCACAAAGTTTTAGAA